GGCGTCGTCCATGTTCAGCGGCTCCTCCTTGACGTGAACGGACGGCCTGCGGGGGGGGGAGACAGAACTTTAGGCCTGGGTGTGTGTGCGGGCGGATGAATTTCTGCACTTGTTGGATTTTTTTAAATTAAAAAACTCACCACTTAAGTTTGTCATGTGAAAAATTTAAAGAAACTGGAAAACCCCTAGAGACACAAAGTAAAACGTGGTATTGCAAACGTTGATGACACAACAGAGAGAAACACTTCAAACACAAACATCGTTTTTTTCTTGCTGCAGGTGTTAATTATAAAATATATAATTATTATTATTTAAGCCAAATAACAAATGATGAATTTAGGAACTGAGAACAAGTACAATTTTTGACAATTTTTGACCATGTGTTTGTCTTGAACTACGTGATGATGTTGCCACAGGTCAGATCTGGACTGCAGGCTGGACAGTGAACTGCAGGTGCTGGGTTCTGTCCTGATCTTTGACATGTATTTGTCCACAGATATATTTTCTTTTTTCCTTCAGTTTCTCTCTTTCTGGTCTACGACTTCTTCTAAGCTAGGCTAGGCTAAGCTAAGCTAAGCTAAGCCAAGGCAGCTGTGTTAATAGCCTCATTATCAAGTGATGCACATTCAGCAGTGGGTTCCACCTCACGTCTTTACACAAGTTTTGTCAGTAAAAAATTTTTTTGTCCTTTTCCCCATTAAATAAAGTTTAAAATTCTCATTTTTTTTATTGTATTTTCAGGAAGCATAGCAATTTTTTTTCTTTTTCCAGAAATGTGTTTTCGACGGCTACGCTGATAAATATTTAGTTGTATGTGAAAAAAAAAAAAAAAAAAAAACACACGACATGCATTATCTTGCCAACTTAACAAGCATGTTGTTTGTGAGACGCTAATTTGACACGATGCCTCACGTCCACTGTAAGTAAGAGCATGAAAATTGCATGGAGAAACGCCGGCGCTCTCGGGCCGATAAGCTGTGATGTTCCAGACATGTTTGGCATTTAAAAGTTTACTGATGACACCAGGTTGAAATACATGAAAAAGGAGGGAGGGGGAGGGGATGATGTTGGGGGGTTGGGGGGGAGAACAGGCCACATGATAAATAATGGAGAATTTCTCATCCCTGAGCCCCTGGAGCAAAGGCAGAGGAGAGGCTTTTTTATCTAGTTAATAGAAAGCGCAGCCACTCGTTAATATGCAGAGGCTGTGCGTGTCGCTCCTCAAGAGGAAAAACCGGCAGCTAGGTTCTGCTATTAATCAACTTCAGCCCCGGCAGTTCGCTCGGACACCATGATACATGTTTTTAACTCCAAATGGATGAATATCTTTGGGGCCGCTGTCAATAAGCAGTGGGCAGGAAGTGGCGCCGGTGCTGGGGGAGCGAGGACGCCTCTGCCTTCACCACAACACGGGGAAAAAATTGTTGGGCGACTAACAAGAATAATAACGCTGTCACACACAAACAAGGCATAACATGATCTGGGGGCCGAGTCGGGGAGAGGGTTTTGTGCCACGATGATAAATCTGACAAAACCTAATTATTCCTGACACATCGGATGCATCAAAAAATCCCCCTGGACTTTAAAAAGGAAAATGGAGAGGGGGGGGGTGAAGAGTGGGTGAGGGTGTGGGCGGGGGGGCTTATCAAGTGGTAGTACGTTAGGACGCGTCTCTCTCTCTCTCTCTCTCTCTCCTGGGCTGCCTTCATCAGGGGAAGAAGGGTAGAGTAAAAAGGGGAGGGGGAGGTCGAGGGTGGGGGGGCAGGTTTCAATTTGAAAAGAATTTTTAAAAGGTACAGATGACTTTAATATTCAGAACCAAATACTGTAAATTAATATTCTGATGTGGTGGCAGTAAAGAGAGGAGGCTGATCTTAGCGGGACGCGATGAATATTTCTGTTTCTGCACCTCTCAGATTTATGGCAGAGTGAAAAAAAACCCACCTCAGCCGGAGGTTAGAGACTCTGATTTTCATCCACTCTGCTGAAGCGCAGAACAGAATCACAGGGATCCCTTTAAATCCTGACGTTTTATGACGCTCAAGGTTTGTTTAATGTGTCTTTAAGGTGTTAAAGGGCTGACGCCAAAATCTTAGACCGGGGCTGGTGATAAAAAAAAAAAAAATCTCTTGAAGTAAAATTTATGAGGGGTTTTTTTTGCAGAAATGGATTTTGAGCAGAAAAATTTCCCTTGTAAAAATTTTAAAAATTATTTTGTAGAAATTACAAAAACAAAAGCTGTCACACATTCACATTAAAACACCACAGTAAAATACTGCATTTTACATTGGTGTTGATAAGTATAAAATTATACAAAATGTTTGTGAAATTCATCTTCTTCCTGTGTGTGTTTCTTTACAAAATCTCTTCATAAAGACTATTTATTTGAATTATGGGCTGCATTGGATTTAATATGTTGTTGACAATTTTTAAAAATCATCAACTGACTGATCGTCTATGTAAATAAACCGGAGTACTTTTTTTTTTTTTGCACTCCCTTAATGGATGTAAACAAAGTAAACCTGATCTGGTCTAATAAGTACAATTTTATTATGAGATCGCAAAAAAAAAAAAAAAAAATTTGAACAAAAACAGATGACTGCACTTGTTTGTTGACTAAAATCAAACCTGGACAAAGAACAAGAGTGTTTTTTTTTTTTCCTTCCTTTGTTTGGACACAGATCAGACTAAAATCAAACCTGGACAAACAACAAGAGTGTTTTTTTCCCCTTCTTTCCTTCCTTTGTTTGGACACAGATCAGGGTCGTCTTTTCTCCCAGATTAATTCATGATCATTAGGAGGAGCGTCACTTGGACACGGTCCCTGACACAAAGCATGGATCTTCTATTCCTGTGTGTTTTTAATATGCAGCTCATTAGGTGTTTGTGTGGCTTCAAAGATAAAGGAATAAATAAATATAAAAAAAAAGAAAATATGCAGGAAGCGTTTCCACCGACCCCCAGCTTCCTGACACTTTATTAAAATATGTGGCGAGCCATTTAGCGCTTAATGGCTAGCTGCCATTATTGAGTCACTCAGGAATAAATGCCGGACAAGGTAGTGTAATAAATATGTGGCGCTCACGTATGTGTGTGTGTGTGTGTGTGTGGAGATGCCTGCTCTCACATCAGTCAGAGATTAGCAGCAGCAATCATGCAGAGGTATGTCAGGGATGCAAATAAGGTCATTAGTCCACGGGCTTTAATAGTGGGCTGGGGGACAGAGGGGTTGGTGAGGTGTGGAGGGAGGTCGGGGGGTGGGGGGCGGAAGACAAGGGTGATGGAGGTGAGGTGGGTGTGTCAATCTCAGACACATCTCGCTATGATTCATTAGGCAACAACAAAGTGCTGTGGTCAACTAACGACGAAAAAAGGAAAAAAAAAATTTAAATTGCCGTTTAAACATAAACGTCATTTAGGAAAAATTTTTTTTAAAAATCTTCATTGAGTTAATAATGAATTATTTTTTTGGGGGGTAACTTTACCAACTGATCTACTGACCTGAGCTGCTCATCAGTCAGTGGTTCAGATTGTGGCTCGGGCCCCGAATTGTGGACTTTAAAATTAAAAATAATTTCCTCTTTTTCTCGACACAGAATTTCTGAATTTTTTTTAGTTCTGTGGAGATTGTTTTCCGGCACACAAACATGTAACATGTGTGCACCACAGACCACTGAGCGTGGCCCGGGGCGATCTGGTCTGTGGTTAGCGGACAGCTTTAACCTTTGGATGTTTTGGGGGGGGGTTTGGGGGGTGTTTCTCTAATTGTTGCACTGACATCGTTTTGCTGTCTCCCTCTAAGACGGAGCCTTTAAGGTGATGCACACCAGCGCTACAAGCAAATCCATTATTCAAGTGCATTCTGGAACAAAAAAAAAATAGTCATGAAAAACACATTTTTCCCATTTGGAGGTTGTTGTGAAGTGTGTAGAGGAGAGGAAATAGACGCCGGCCTCGCACTGAAAGTGAAATGACCTGAGGGAGCAGCGAGGCAGGGGCTTCTGTCAAGACGGGGCAGATTTCTCTACTTAACGTCCCATTTCTGAGAGGAATAAACACGTCTGAATGGAGCGAGGTGTAAATGTGGGAGAGGATTTGGACAAACACTCACTGAAGTGCATTTATCCAGTTTGTTTAATAGAAGAGCGGATGAGTTCCACTGAGGCATGATGTCACGTTTGTCTTGCAATGTGTGTGTGTGTCGAAGTGTGTGTGTGTGTGTTGGTGTTTCTATTCTTAAAAAGTGAAATGAGTGAAATGAATATTGAAAGAAAATTTTCCTTTTTCTTAAACTTTCTTAAAGCTCCTAAATTAAACTTTAAATTCTGCTCCATCAGTCCATTAGTCGACCTCTGGAATGACCCTAACGTCTCCGAAATCAACTGCAGCATCGCTAAAAAAAAAAAAAAAAAGTTAAAGAATCTGAACCATGTCAGAAATGGAGCCGTGCCCTGAGGTCACAGCAGAGTGGAGGGAACACTGCAGCTGCAGGTTAAATATTAGGCAATTAAACCAACAAAGGGCCACAAGGATGGAGAGTGAAGAAGTCGGAGCAGGAGAGGGAGAGGTGTGGCGATCCAAATGTGTGCTCGTTTCCTCCAATAAGAGCTGGTCACACATAACAAAAAAAAAACGCGTGATGTGTGAATCAGTGTACGTCCGTCGCACTTAACCTTTTCTGGGCTTTTTAAGAGGCACTTGAGGCACCGTGTTCTGCAGCGGGGACAAAGCCAGAGGACAGCTCAGGTGTGCTGTAATCAAGGCTGGCATTTCCACTATGAGAACATGAATTCTTGGTGAATTAGAAATCTCTGACCAAATCGTGAATAGGTTTCAATTGAAATGTGTCAAAACTGTAGATGTGACATGGATTACTTCATTGATTTTAGAGATATAAAAAGAAAACTACATGGACGAATGGATGAAGTGCATTTCTAATTTAGTAGTTAAGAAACTCAATTTTCCACAATGTTGTTGCCAGGTTTTGGTGTATAAAATGGAGAGACCCTCAACCCAAAGAACACCAGCCCCACATTGAGACACTACGTTGGGATCATTTATGTCACAGTTAACATAGAATTTTTGATCGTCACAGTAAGAGGAATTCTAGAAGATTTTTGGAGAAATGAACCTTTTAGCGGTTAGCAGCTAAAGCTAAGTCCTGGTAGAGAACCATCTCCAGTAAAGCTGACACTGTTACACATTCAGTATAATATCTAACTGAATCTTATTGAAAACGAACCCTCAAACATCCACCGGCTGATATTTGACCAAAACTAGAACACAGACGAACGTTATCGGAATTTATTGGAGGTTAATGATCTGGACCTTGGTATTTGTTTCAGTTCTATGGAATGAATGTGGCTTCTGTGTGCGAAAAGGACATCAAATAATTTAGTGAGTTCAGAAATGCTGAGGAAAAGGTCAAAAACAATAACTAAAAATTCTCTGACGGTCAATTTTTGAACGATTCCTTTAAAAACACCTGTGTTTAACTTGAAGTTTCATGGACTTCGCTCGTACAGTCGTGGCTCGTGTTGAGCTGCGGTGTTTACATCACAGGCTCACACACAAACACACTGCTGCTGGAGGCGTGGGGTGCGGGGTACTCACATGTGTACAGGTGGGGAGTATCCAGGGCTGCTGTGTCCGTTGGTGTCCAGGTGGTCAAGCGTGCCGTTGAGCTCCTCGTGGGCAGACTGCAACAGGGACGGCGGGCTGCCGCTCAGCGTGCCTGGGGGGCTGCCTCCTAAGAGTCCGGGCGGACTGCCGCCTGTCAGACCAGACGGATCTCCACCCAGGAGGCCGTGGCAGCTCCCGCCCATCGGGCCCGTGGAGCCGCTGTTCATGAGGCCCGGGGTCCCCAGCAGAGGCAGGGAGGTCTCGGCCAGAGCCGCCTGCGAGGGGCAAAATTTCAAACTTTTAAAACTGCCGGTTGAGAGATGGAGAAGAGACATTTACAGGGGGGGTAACAAGGCTTGGGTGATGTGAAAGAGGAAAGGGGTGAGTTGTGGGGGGAGGCAGGGGAGGGTGGACAACGTAGAGTTTGACATTCAAAGACCTAACACAGTAATTATAAAACACACACTCACTCACCAGCAACTTTTCTATTCCGTTGCAGGCTATTTTTCACCTGGTGACACCTTGCTGACAACTGCTCCAACTACCCCCCGACCCCCACCCCCCAGCTGCCATTCACATGCCCTTGTGTTGTGTGGCTATTAAAAAAAAAAAAAAAAAGAAAGAAGTCCTCCCCCCAAAAAAAACTTTACCGCAAAATAATTCCTGACACTTTCGCCTGCCGCGCATTAAACTTATATAAAGTGATTAAATTTTTAAAGTTTTTTGCCATGAGCACCTCGCCGCCTTCCACTGTGAAGCCAAATCATCTATGACAGCTTGGATAAATATTAATGCACATGCCCTTGCATTTGCACATGCCACTATCAATCTGGAGGGCGGGGGAGCGGGGGCGGCTGCCACCACCCAACGAAAGGGAAAGGGAGAGTCCAGAGATGCTTCCTGAGTTGACCACAGGGTGGCCTTGTGAGTCTGACAGTGGACAGGAAGGCGAGGGAGGGATGCATGTACACACAATAGAAGAGAGAGAGAGAGAGAGAGTGGGAGAGAGAGAGGGGGAGGCAAATATGGGTTGAAGAGAGAATAAAGTTGACATGGACGTGTTTGGTTGGAGTTACAAGTGCGAGTACAAACTTATAGTCTGAGTACAGACAGCAGCCGCAGTCACTGACAGCTCACTCAGTCAGTCAGGCCTGTCACACAGATGAACTGTGAAGACGTGAAGAGTGGGTGAGCAGCAGCCTATAGGAAGCCTTTGGTTTGTACCTGTAAGCTGGCGTTTAGTGCAGTTCCGTAACCCAGACTGGAGGGAAGGTTCTTGACAAGTGATGGGCTTCTGAGAACAACAAGGGAGAGAGAGGGAGAGCATTAGATGATGATCTTAAAATATCTCCAAAAAATGGAGGAAAAAGCATATAATAATAATAATAGAGGTAATTTAATAAGCCAAAGAATCTTAGGTCTCTTAAGTCTCAAGCTGAGTTCTTGGTAACAGACACTAAAGATGACACTAGCAAGACGCCGCTAAAGTGCAACAGTATGACTTGAAAATTATTAACTATAAGTAAAATACTGGGAGGTTTCAATGATACATTTGAGGTTAGAGGTTAGGTCTAAAAACAGTAGGGCTGTGTATTGGTAAGAATCTGGCGATACGATACGTATCACGATACAGATGCTACGATACGATATATTGCGATACACTGCAAAAACTGCAGGCACGACGATATATTGACCACATAGTGTCGTGTGGTTGAAAAAGTGTCAAAAGTTGGAGTAGAAACTCTAAAAAGTCTAAATGACAGAGACCAAAAACACAGAGCGAGAAAGAGTTCCTGTTTCTGATTGGCTCCGATTTTCCAGATCCAGAATTTTGACAGAATCCCTACCCTGTGATCTTTTGTGACCTGCGCTTCTGGTACTCCACCTCGTCCACCGTCCACACGGCTCCCTTCACGTTCTCCACGCGGACGAAGCATTTGTGGAGACTGAGGTTGTGACGAACGGCATTCTGCAAACAGAGAGGTAAAGAGAGAGAGAGAGAAAGAGAGAGAGAGAGAGATAAAGCACAGGTCAGGAGTGAAAATGAATCATATTCACTCAAGGCCGGGAAATAGATTTTTTTTTCTTTCTTTCTTCCACCACCTTCTTTCTCGCATTTTGGAGAAATTCTTAACATTCACACACCATTGATTTAATTAGTAAAAATTGAGTGAGAGCGAATGCTCTTACAAGTCTTGCACACAGTACATATCAATCAGAGTAAGTAGGCTAAAAGGAGGTAATCAGCATAGCGAATGGCTTATGGTGGTGACAGAAGTGGTAATGCCGGCCTTGATAATGGTGATGTCAGTAACCCTTTCTGCTCCAGCAACGCGTTGCCCTTAATGGACACGTCGCTTTAAAGACGACAGTACGCCAAGAAAGAAGACAGTCATCAGTGTGTGTGTGTGTGTGTGCATGACCAGAGAGGATTAAACTCTACTGTATCTGACATCTTTATGTCCAAATCTCCTCCATACTGTGTCTTACGTGGGCTTATAAGTCACCTTTTCCCTGAAATGTATCACCGTGTTCCGACTAAATAAAGCAGGGTAATATCTTTTGGACAATAAACCAAGCACGCTCGGTTATTAATTGCAAAATAAAAAGAAACTGTGGGACAAAAAAAAAAAAAAAAAAAAAAATCCCTTCATATAAATATGACCATAATTAAAATGTGCATCAGACTCTACAAATAATAACCTTGGCTTTAATATCCTGGCTTCACAAATTTATCATCTCTCTCATGGCTTGGTGTGTAGTAGTGTACTGCTGCTTTCTTCAAGAAAAAAAAAAAAAAAAAGATCCAAAAAAAAAAAAAACCTCATAAGCAGATCTTGCATCTGACCTGAAAATCCCAGGATTTGATTGATCTTAATGCCCATGGCTCTGAATATGATAATTTTAATATTAATGAGCAAATGAGCAGTTTTATTATGCATGCTATATAGTTAGAACTAATAAGCTTCTGGGTGAGAGAGAAAAGAGAGGATGGTGAGGTTGGCTCTTTTGAGCTGATGAGACCAAGCTGAGATATTAAACTACCTTTCATTTCGTTTCTTCAATTCTTTCTTTAAAAAAAAAAAAAAAAACACCAATTCTCTGCATTAATCAAATGACAAGCCCCGTCGCTGATCATCCGTCTAATGCCGACAAAGGGAGCTGAGGAGCTGCGGTTGTAAATAGATCACCTTGGTTATCGTCTGAGAGCAGATTTCTCTCGTGTCGCTGTGATAGCGTTCTTTTTGTATCTAAGGAACAGAGCAACTTTTCTCCAGGAAACCGTGGAACATAAAAAAAGAACAGATAATAAAAAAAAAGCAGGTGTTTATGTGTTGACATTGTTTTGGTGAACATAACAAACATAACAACCGCCGCGAAGCCTGAGAGAATGTCATAATGTTATTACGCAGCAGAAACAAGACGCCCGCTGGAAGAAACAAACCGCCAAAAGACGCCGATCTATTTTTTTTTTTCTGCGTCCCCTGCTGAATTGGCGATCACATGCCCATGTGCTCATTTGCATCCCAAATCCAAATTAATTCACTTTGCTAAATCTAGTGCTCGCACGCGTCTTGCATGCAGATGAGCGGCTGGTTGCTTTTGTTTTTTTTTTTATCCTGCGGTCCTCTCTGTGCAGCCACAAAGGCTAAAGGCGGCTAATGAGTGACGTGCAGAGGCCACGGGATAAAACAGAGGAAGACAGCGACGCCGGGACGGTCTTTCTTTATCAGCGGGCAGACACACTCCGGGTTAAAACATGAGCTCAGGAGAAGACTATTTTTTTTAGCCATCTTTGTGTGGGGGAGACAGGACAATAAAGTTGTAGGGACAGATATACAAATGAGGCCTATTGTGTGGGGTAAATAAAGAGCGCTCCCTCCATAACGGGCCGATGCTCGCCGTCCTCCCTGCCAACGCTCCCCGTGAACACACCCTTAACCTCTTCCTTAGACCGTTTATGCCTTTGTGCGAGCGCGCACACGCGCCTCTGTGCATCCGTCATTAGCGTAGCCTCGTTGGCACAGCGGAGAGCTGGTTAACGGGCAAACAGCCATATTTCTCTCTAATTAACCAATGATATGCGAGGGAAGGTGGTTTGTGGAGTGGGAGGAGGGGTGTCTCTCTTAACAAAAGGTGCTGATGATGGAGTGGCTGCTGTATAATTAGTGCGTCAGAGCCCACTCCTCTCCGCGCCGAGCCCGGCTATTAATTGCACCAAATTAGAAAACGATATCTGAGGCAGAATAATTCGTTCGGCTGTCATTTTCAAACAGAAAAGGCAGAAAAGTGGAAAGAAATAAATAAGAGGCAGAAATGGCTGTGTTCAAAAGGAAGCAGACACGTCTGCTAATGGCTGTGTGGAGTAAATACATGATTTAGGGAAGTTTTTTTGTTTTTTTTTTTCTTTTTCCAAAAGAGATTTCAATGAAATGAAAACATTTCTGACAAAGCTGATAAAACTCTACAAAAACACAAAAACTAAACGTTTAGTCCTTAATGAAAAAGAAAACTACAAAATGATGACAACTTGGAACTGGGGGAACGGTAGTTTGCAGTTTGCTAACCCTAACCCTTCATGTTTGGTCTGACAGATCTGGACTCCAGGACTCCTCTCTAAAGAACCTTTGCCTTTGCCCTGTGATGGTGTTCCTCATGGCACTACCTTAGGGTTAATGTACTGTTATCTAAAACAACAACACAGGCCTGTTTCTCAATGATACCTTCACATACAGTATATGTACAGTAGATCAGTGAGTCCCAACCGTGAGTGTGGCGTGAGAGATCATTAGGTGTGGCGTGGAAAATTATCCAATTTTCTGCTAGGTGGCAGCAGGTGGGTATGAAAACTAAAAAACAAAGAGCATCAGAGCAGTTAAAGATCTTTGTCTGTGTCTTTCTTCAATTCCTGCCAGTATATCTGTGTTTTCTTCAACTAAACAGGCTGAGATTTTAGTCAATTATGAGGTCATTTAAACTAGAAGATTATTATACATTATATATGGGGTTTTTCCTGATGATATATATATATGTACCGTAGCTCAATAAAGTTTGGGAAACACTGCAGTAGATCACCATGTCGGAGCAGTGAGATCTCAAAGATTAGATTTTATCTGTTGATAAGATTTCAAACTCTATCCCTCCCAGTGTAATCGATTTCTCCTGACTCTTTTTTCTAGACAACGTCTATATATTTCTTCATAATTTGTATATGCTGCTTTTGAGCTGGTGTTTGGTAGACATCCAATCTTGATACCCAAACTTTTACTTTACTCACTCAAAGTCCAACCCGCATCATTTCGGGACAAAATCAAAAAGAAATAGTGGTAAGAGTGGTGCCAAAATAGGGGTCGGGGTCCATCAAAGTTACCTTCCAGGTTGCAGCATTGCGTCTGAAGTAGGCAAACGTGCGCGTGAACCAGCTGTAGATTTCATTAAGCGTTAACTGCATGTCAGCAGAGTCCATGATAGCCTGAAATGAGATGACATCAAATAATGATTTACTAACGAGAGCATGTCAGTGACACACACACACACACACACACACACACATGGATCGAGTGAGGGGAGGGAGTACTGCTATGATTCATGCAGCAATTAATTTTAATCTAATCAGGCAAAGTTAATTTATTTCCCACTCACCTGTCTTATGAGGGTTGCATAAGTAAATGGCGGTCTGACATCGGCGTTCTTATAAAACTCGTAGTTTGGGGCAATCTCTGGAAAAATAAATACTGTGTCACCACCTGAAATAATTGGTAAATTTAATTCCTTTAGGTTGTGAATTTACTCAAGGTTTCATCAAATTAATAGGAAGAAAAGGGGGGGGGGGGGGGGAAAAACAAGGGGGGGGGTTGGGGGGGGGGGCCATACATCAAATTGGCATTTTCCATGTCTAACAAAATGCATTTTTAATTAATCTCTCTCGTGAGAGATCTTAAACACTAATACATCGGCAAAATGAGATCCGTGTAGTTAGTTAGGCTCAAGTTGAATAATTTATGTGTCTTCACACTAAACACAGACAGAGTAAATATAAACATCAAAGACAGAGCGTTTAAAATGCAAAAACCTAGCGCGTGGAATGTCTTGACGCGATAAATATTGTATTTTTTTTCTCCCCACCATTATTTGAACTTAATTAACATTCATGTAATATTTATCCACACCAGGAAGTTCTTGTCTATTTATATAGAGAGTGATTAAACACGGGGCCTGCGTTCACAAACCGCCCAGACATCCCACATTTGTTAAGACCAACAAGCCTTTGAGGCGCTGTCTGTGGGTTTATGTCTGTGTTTGTGTTTCAAAAAATGAAAAAAAAAAATACAACACCATTACAACTCCGTGTCATTATCTGTGCAATATCAGAGCTGCAGCTTCGACAATCAGTGGAGAAATGTCGAGATCAACTTATGATGACGCGTGAACTCCATTTTAAATGGACGTCCAATCCGTATGTGTGTGTGAGCGACGTCATGGTCGTAACGTACTCTGAATTAAAAACACAATCAGAAACACGTGACATTCGTGTGTAATGCTGAGTAGTTGGTCCTACCTGACAGGGGCATGGAGTATTTATCCGAGTGGCGTCTGCGCATCGCTCCCATGCTGGGTACGTTGGCGCCCCCTAATACTGATGGCACCTGGGGCATGGCGGCCATTGGCGTGATCGGAGCAGTGGGCGTGGTGGGCGTCTGAGGTAAGTTTGGGGGCGACGCCGAGGGCAAGTTCTTGGACATGGTGACGCTGGACACCAAGTTCAGCTGGAAGGGAGGGAAAATGGGCGCGTCAGAGGAAGGCAGAATCGAGTGGCGGGAAAGAAGAAGGATGTAGGGAAGAGGGAGGAGGAGGTGGAGGAGGTGGTGGTGGTTATTTTGTGGTTGCTCCGACAGAGCCGAGTGTCTGCTCTCCTCTTGGCTAACACAGCTGTGTTTCCTCTAACAAGGCTCGTGGAGAGCAGCCAGCCTATCTTCACTAATTACAACCACCAAATTGTATCATAAGAATTCTAATTAGAGCACGCTGTTGTAGATTATCCAACGATCAGCCTCCGTGTTATCCAGGCCCCATCTCTCTTTATCTCTCTATTTATCACCCCCCCTCCCTGCCTCCCCTCCTTCTGTGTCTGTGCCACCATAGTCGCTCGTAATCCTTTTTTTTAAAAACGGAGCTAACAACAAAGTGCTGTAACCTTGTTTGTTGTTGTTGTTGTTGGGACCCAGACTATGCCCCCCCCCAATATGTGTGTCCCAATCCTCTACCAGTTACTTTGGCGGCCAAAAAAACAGCAGCACAAAGTCGTCCTGATGGATTATGAGAAAAGAGTAAGCTAAGAAAAGCATGTGCGGCTAACTGACGCTGCGTTAGTTTGAAAGTTTGTGGAGCTTGAGCAGAAATTACTGAATCACTGCTTTGATGATTATTATTATTATATAAATACACTCCATCTCCATCACTTGACCGTCTTTTTTTTAAAAGTTTTTTGCTTTTTGCCTCCTCAACGTTGTGTTGGAGGTTTTCACTGGCCGGAAAATTCCACGGTGACCTTTTAGTCTCTGTGCTAATTTAGGTGGAATGGTAATGACATTGTTACACACATTCAAACCACACTGCCGTCACTGCAAGTCCTTACAAGTGAGAGAGAGAGAGAGACAGAGAGGTGGAGAGAGAGAGGCTGAAGAACAGAGGCAACACTAGTGGTCATTTGTAGGAAGTGTTAATAAATAGGATAAAATGTCAAGTTTGAGAGACACCAGTGGATGATTAGCGTCCAGATGCTAATTTGTTGCATTAGCTGTAACAAGATGTTACAGTTATGGGCAGGGATGGGACACATTAAGGATAAATGTTTTATGTTTTCAAGTTGGACATTGGACTGAATGTCTCTAATATGACTGAAAACTGAAAACCCTAATATATTTTTTTTTTTTTTTATGGGCGACAATGAAATTGTTTCACTTCCAGCTGCTCTAAATTGAATGAAATATATAAATGATAATACATATATATAAAAAAAGAGTGAATGTAAAAAGTACTTGTGGATCAGTGTACTGCAGTAGATTTGGACAGAAATACTCAGTCTCAAACACATTCCTCTACATTAATGAGGGAAACACTAGAAATCTGCTCTCTGAAATCTTAAAAAATACTCTCATGGTTCTGGAGTTTGTAAAAAAGAGCCAGAGGCGCAGAGTGAGATCCACATATTAGGTTTTTGAAGACCGATATATTGCAGCTGTGATAACTTTGACTCTCATTAATCCACGGAACCGCCAATAAGAAATATTTAATGAAGTGTGCCTAAAAAAATACTGATGTGATGTGGTGATACACGTGACGGTGCAGTGTATCCCACCAGCTTTAGCTGCGAGATATCTTTCACTCAAATAATTTAAAAAAATATTGTATTATGTCTAGTATCTCTTATTAGCTGTGATGCTAGCGTGTACTTGTACAGTGTATAACTACAAACCAAAGAACACACTGACAGCCCCCAAAAGACTCAACTGTTAATTTAAGAATTGTCTATAATTTACCCTCATCATCAAATGCAATTAGCTGCTCTTTTATGTCTGCTTTATGTAATGCAATACTTCATTAGCATCATTCACTCATATTCAGGCGTGGATTACGGATTGTAATTTTTTTCTTATTGGACAGGAAGGAACCACAATGCTGGTTTTTTTTTCTTTTCTAAGATTATAAAAAAAAAGCTACAGACAGACAAAAGAAGAGAGATGGAATCAGAGCGAGGAGTTTGATGTCATGCGATAATTATGCTGTGGTATAATGATCTAAATGAGTGATCATCCACTGGCGGCTCGCGGGCCAAATATATGAAATCTGGCCCGCAACTGGATTTTAAAAATTAAAAATGTATAAACAACAAATAAATAACACTAGAATTGAATGTGATTTTTATTCCTGGCCCAATTCTGGTGTAGCTGGTGACTGCTGATCTACATTCTGTGATGATTGGCTCTGAAGGAGACGTATGATCAGAGAAGGTTCTTAATAAACTGCCGTGTTTTTGTTCTCAAATATCAGAAAACTGAGAGATAATAATGTCGGTAAAATTTCAAAGAAATTCACTTCTAATCCTTCCACCTTAAGGTAACAGGTAAAAGAACATTGAGAATGTGACACCGTTCCACTCTTAATGACCTCATTTCATTTTTTTCCCCCATTTCATGTGTGTATTTACATCAACACCGCTCCGTCCTCTGCGCTCGGCTGTAATTTTATGGTGTTTGTTGGTGAAATGACATATATCGTCATCTTTCATTCCGTTCCGGAGTGCTACAGCGGCCACTGAGCCAAACACTCATCAGCGGCCCAAAGGTTGTTTTGGCCATTATATCTATCACGACGAAATGGCCCTGCAGTTTAGCCAAGGACGCCGGCGCTCCACCATCAAACACACTTCCAAACTCTATTGTCCTCTCGTGGTGCACGGTATCTCATGAGCCACAGATGGAGCTTAGTATTACAATCTGCCGCTCTCCCCTCTTTTGGTGTCTGTCACTCACTTAAACCACTGCCCAGGTGCTTAAACTGCCCATTTTCTCCGCAGAGTCCGGGCGTCGTGGCGAAAAAGCCTGTTTACGGCAGACGGAGCAATATGCACTCACTGGTTTGGGAGATGACTTGGGTTCTGAGGGCCGCATGTGCAAGTGGGTCATCATGGCCTGGAGACGCTCACGTTCTTTAGAAAGCTGTTAAAAGACAACAAGGAGAGAGTGCATTAGAGTAGATTAGAAGAGAAGAAGGGAGTAAAAGAGGGGAGAGGAGGGGAGTTTAGTGGTACAGTGGGAAGAGAAGGGAGAGAAAAAAAAAAACTAAACAAGAAATAGTTTGATGTAAACCAAGTGAGAAGGAGACAACAGCTCCTGCTGGTGATGTGAGGGAAAAATATGTGGAACTGGGGGAGAAGGCGGGACAGAGGTGCAGACAGGTCAGGCTAAACAAATAGCATTTCATCTTTTTGTCAATAGCAGAATTTAGGTCAGGCAGACTCTGACAGTAACAAGCTACTCGGGCCATAAATTAGGTGGTCCTGAGTGTCTGCTCAAAGTCCTGTGGACTCTGTTAGGGGGATGGAGCGCAGCCAACAGCTGCCAAGAGGTGAAGAGGTCTTCCAAACAGACCGGGCCGCCCCGCCTCCCCAGTCCAGTTAGTGGCCCCAGTCTTCGCCCATCATCAATCTAATTCACAGGGAGTGACAGGAACTGGACCATGAGAAAGACTCATCCCCCCTGCACACCTTTAATGCACACGTACATATACACCCACGTGGACAAAACGCACCGAGAGAAACGGGCGAGGAAGTAGGCGTTTACACACACACACACACACACACACAGAGCTGGGCCTCATTACGAGTGACGCTCTAGAGGAGGGAGGAAAAAAAAAATCAGGGGAGAGAGGTATGGTGGGAGTAAAAACAAAATAAAGACATGAGAAGGAGAAGGACGGACAATGTAAGTGCAGCGCTGTAATTGGTCACACAGTACGGAGCAGCTGAAACAAAACACAGGAAGAAAAAAAAAAAGTTCCACGGCTGAAACTCGACATTTCCGGCTGTGACTTTTGTTTGATTCCGGCTTTAAAACGTACACATAAATGTACGCGATTGTTGTCAAAAGAAAAGAGAAACTGTAGTCGGCACTGCTGAGTAATAATGAGAGCGCTCAATCAGCGTTCTCATTATCTAGCCAGCGTGACTTCTTAATAAGGTCACGCTCCACCTACTGAAAATAGTTCCCTCCTTTTGAGCTTTCTTCAGGTGCAAAGTGCAGTTAATTAACACAGCCGAATGGAAGAGATGCACTTGTTATTAATTGGAAAAAAAAAAAAAATAGTAAAGGAAAAAAAAAAAAAAAAAAGCACTACACGCTTAATTCAATTAAAACAGTCATAATGGCTTTGGTTGTAAGGCCTGAGGATTCCTTTGTTTCGTGGCTTTGTTGAATCCAGCGGGTCCTGAATGTCTGGAAATAGGAAGGACGCCTTAATAAGGCCTGACTCTCACTTATAGAGCTCTAAGAAATAAAGTTTCCGACAGAATGATTGACAACTTTAAATTTTTTTTTGTTCTTATAAAAAGTTACAATAATTAATAAGCTAATAAACCTGAAAAAACTGAATTTTGGACACTATAAATAGAATTTTAAAACTATGTTATTTGCACACACACTGTGAAGCAAAGTTTATTTTTTCAGTTTAGTTTTGCAGATTTTATTGGACTTTTTTTCCATTCTATATTTCATTTCATCACTTTGATTAGTGACCAATAAAAACTTTTTTTTGTTCTTAATAATCCAGCCTCATACAGCCAATATGTTTTTGACCATATTTAGGAATGTTGATTCCTATGAAATAATCATGATTACTGACAATCACGATTAATCACAATTAATCCTTAAACACCACCTGCCTATTACTACATTTTCACAATGGTCAAACGTACTACACTTGACCTCGTCTGTTGTTACTGATCATCTTGGATCAGCAGTGTTTTTTTTTACGGTGGACGAATCTGTTTCTATGACAACTGAAGGCCTTCCATATTTTCTCTGCCATACTTTGTTGGACATGGTGACAGATAAATTTAAAAAAAAAAAAAAAAAAAAAAGAAAGTTCTCCACAAGGTGTCGCTCAACTCTGTACACTGCATGTGTAGCAGGTAGCGTGCTGTGTTGGAACATGTGGAGAAACGTACCTGTATTTCCAGCTGCTGTACAACCTGCATCTGGACTCGACACTGAGCCGTGCTCCGGTCGTCCAGGGCATGTTCGCTGTTTAGATGCCTGGAGTTGGAAGAACAGGAGCAAAAAATATGTTAGTGATGAATAATAATAATATTTAAAAAAAACCCACTTTCATTCTGTCTATCAACATACAGTAATTATGGAGGATGGAAATTACAATATCAACTCCAGCGTGGTTTTTTGTTTTTATGATAATATTTCTATTCCGCAGCAATTATCTATAGGATCCTGTTTGCAGCCATTGTTCTGCTCTGAAATGAGGTAATTAGAAGTAACACGCCGGTCGGTGTGTGTGTGTGGTGCCATGTTTAACATGACAATAGCCCGGTGCCAGTTGAGATGGCTAACTCCGGTGCCACCCCGAGCGCTGCCTTCTACAGAGAATAAAAGATGCTAGCCCAGCAGAACGGCTTTGTCTCCTTCGTTTACCGAAAACAATACACACAATTTAACACCGGCAACATTTGACACACAAAAGCCGCTCCTCGATGGAAGGTGCATTATCCGGCGGGAGACATAATAAATGTATCTGGTGTGTTCGCCTCATTAGAAGAAAAAGGCAGGCAGACAGCCATAACAGTCAATGAGGGGTTTTTTTTTTGTGTCTTGATTGGATTTTCTTCTGTAGGATACAAAAGAGCCTCGCCATTAAGGTAGGGCTTTATTCCTGGTAAGTCACACACACACACACACACACACACACACACAGAGGAATACACAGTACACAAATATAGAGCGGGAGCTTCTAAAGTGTTGTGATGCTGGGTAATGAGCCTCTATCTAAATGATCATTGGTGTCAAACTTACAAAGGCGGCTTTGAGGAGGCATGCTTATGAAATGCCAGAGCTGCCACTTTATCTGCAGTAATTATAGGTTACCTTGCAGACCCTTCAATGATCATTTACAGTGCTGCCTCCAGTGCATTAAAGTGAGGACAAAATCTATCTCTCCAGTGATTGCAGTCGTGAAACCGGAACCGGAACACAGACTATTGTGCTAAATAAAAAGAAAAAAAAAAGTAAAGCAACACACACCCGTATACAAAGGTAATATGTGAGGCAACTCATCGAAGCGACTACATCTGACCCGCCAATCAAAGTGTGAATGGAACATGTGTAGTTTTCAATGAGACTGAATTCACCTAAAAACACAGTCAGTCCTGGTCCTGTCTGTGGTTTGTCTGATGATTCCAGGTCCGATGTTTTATGATAAATAAGATGAAAATGGAGTAGCATTAGAAGAGGAGGCAGAGGGAGTGGGATGGACAAGGGGCGGAGGTGGTG